AGGGCTTCACTTGGAAATTTCATTAATCCAGAAAGCACCAAATTTTGTATTTCTCTGAATGGCTCAGAAAATGTGACAACAATGTTAGGAAGAAAAATGGCATTTGGACCTATACTTGAAAGAGAATGTAGTTGATAGCATTGGTAGGAAGATATCGCTAAAGAACATAGGCACAGTTACACAATCATTGTTTTTAAAATGTTGTTGGTGCTTTACGAAGGTTCGAGACATTTGATCTACTGATGTCCTCAATTTGCTAACAAGGTAATATCATTAATGGCCACAGAAGGTCCTCTAGGAGATGAATGTCACTTACTCTGGCAATAAAGGCAATAAATTTTCAGGTCAAATTTCTTAGTAACTAAGAAATTAATTTTGTTAAAATTCAAAAGCTCTTAACGATCAGGTTCAGAAAATCTCCCCCACAGCCAGATGTCTTATTTCCTTTTTTAATCTTAACACTAAGCATAGTCCTATATATCCTTTTAATGGTTTCTATGACTTCTGAATTTTTAAAAATACAAAATAACTTTTTTTTTCTCGTATAAGACTCTTGAATGCCACGCACCAATGGTTCACACCTTTAATCCTAGCTACTCAGGAGGTTGAGATCTGAGGGTCCCCATTCCAAGCCAGCCCAGGCAGGAAAGTCGGTGAGACTCTTGTCTCCATTTAACCACCAGAAAACAGGAAGTGGTATTGTGGCTCAAGTAGTAGAGTGCTAGCCTTGAGCGAAAGGGCTGAGGGACAGTGCCCAAGATCAGAGTTAAAAAAGACTAATTTTTTTTTTTTGCAGTATGAGTGTACAATACTTTTGGTGGAAAGATGTGTAGATGTGTTTCTGAACAAGGGGGATGTCACCTTTCTGTCTTCTTAGTCAGTGAATCTAAGCATCATAGCAAGCATTTCCTAAAATAAAAATGAGGGAATGCATTCAATAAATTCTCCTCAGACTGAATTTCTGGTTTCATAGAAAGAATGGAAGAGGAACATTAAATCTTTGCAAATACCACTTGTGCATTACAGCAGTTAAAACCTTTTGGGAGGAAAAAAAAAGACTAAGCATGCTCAGAAGTGCTCCTGCCAACAATTGTAACCTCTCCATCATTTGCTCTATGATCTTGGCAAAGGCTGGCAGAGATGAATCTTCCATCTTTCTCTTTTAAACTGTGTCCTTCTACTGAGCTTGCTGTTTCTGATGTTACGCACTCCCAAAGTGCTTTCCTAAATATATAACTATATATTAGGCTCCCAGAATAAAATCTTTACACTCTGCAGAAAACATTGCTTTGGAACTAAATCTCGTGCTTATCTTACCTGTAATAAGTCTCTTATTCCTTGCTGTCTATGGCTTTTTTTGGCTTTGGACTTCCCAAGATGGAAATCCTTTGTGATCAACAATGCAGACATTATACGCGGGGCTCTCTGGCAACCTTGAGAAAAACAAAACCATCTGAGAACTGGAAACTTTGTCCTTGAGATTGTAGAATCCACTTTGCATGCTCTGACCAAATCTTGAATCAAGTCACTCCTTAGCTAACATGGAGAGCACCCCCAGCCTGCCCCCCTTCCCATCCCCCCCAACCCGTCCCCCCACCCCCCACCCTGAAACTCTGTATTTTGTGAGCTAATCTGTTTCTGTAGGGAAAAGTCCAATTTTGGTCCTTTCATTCTTGGCTACCACCCCAGGTTCACTAGAAGGGTTCTGAACAGGAACGCAGAATTCCTTAGGACAGGTCTGTGTTTTGAAAAGTCATCCTTGACTCCTACTCAGTGCCTCCTTCCATGGACTCTGAAGTGGGCTGAAAAGCTGACATGCTCTTGTGTAACGCACAGGTGTGAATAGCCAAACAGGACTTTGATCTCCAACAGTTGATTTTACTTTTCTCTCAATTTTCTTATTTCCAATGTAGGTCAATAGTTGGTACCTTCCAGAGTGGCTGTGAGAGATTCCAACAAGACAAGCGTTGGTGCAGAACCTGCTATAATGTCTGCTACAAAGGTGTTCAATTCAACGTCGCTGCTATAGGCCCTACCCCTGCCCTATTTTTAATCCATCCAGATCGTGCTTGTCAGTACCACGGGAGCAAGAGACTGCAGAGAGGCCACAAACAATGGGCTGACTGGGACACCAGAAATATGAGTGATCAACTTATTCTCAAGGTATATTATCTGGAAGACATTCATGCTGAAGAGAGGACTATGGACAGAGGGCATCCAGTCAAGGTAACGGATTGAGGGAAGAATAATTTGGGACTTGGAAGCTGTACAACAGAGTGCAGCAGAAAATGGAAGCATGCCTTTGGCTCCTGGGCTTTAGTGCTGACTCTAGGATAGTGGGGGCTGGGGTCAGGCACATCTCTCCTGAGAGGATCATTTGTGGTCATCTGATGACAGGGGTGGTCAGCACTGTGGCCATAGAGGAGAGGGCAGCCCAGCCCTCTGGCTTCAGGAAACCATGCTTCCCTTCTGGAAGCATGAAAATTGTACCTTATAAACCCTAAGAGAGGGGTTGATTGGAATTGAGGTGGGAGCAGGAGTAAGCATAGGAGCAAGAAAAATTCTAGAAACAATTTAATGTGTCCCAATTGGATTGAAAACGGAGACATTTGGCTTCTTTTTCCAAGCTAAATATAAATTTCCCCTCTGTATATTTATTACCTTTATAATAGCAATAAACAAATATTTAAAAGTAAAAAACAAGATCCATATTTAATATCAAAATAAGTTTTCTGCTCTTTTCATGTTTTGTGTTGTGTTACTAAAGCTGAAGGAACCTCTTCATTCCATACATGAAGCAGACATCTTCAGAAGATGACTCTCTGTCCCCACTTACCCTCTCCCTTGACACTAGGGGACAACAATCACCAGGTATAATCCATCCCTCCCTCCCACTTTTTTTGTGCAGGTACTGGATCTTGAACTTAAGGCCTAGGTTCTGTCCCTTAGTTTTTTTTTTAATTTTATCATGAAAATTAGTTTTTTCATTCATGGTTGATACTCTATCACTTGAACCACAGCTCCACTTCTAGATTTTGGCTATTTAATTGTAGGTAATAGCCTTACAGACTTTCTTGCCCAGGCTGGCTTTGAGCTAGGACTAGAAGTGTAAGACACCAGTGCCTGGTTTATAATTCTCTTTCATCTCGTTAAGCAAATGTAATATATGAACTTGGTTCTGGTAGTTACCATAATAGATCTCAACTGTCCCCTACACTGCTCATGTCCAAACTAAACAGGATGGCTAAAATCACAGGCCCAAAAGTCATACCTTGTGGGGTTGATATAGGTTCTGCCCCAACTAGCTGATTGGCTTTGAAAAAATGACCTAACTTACAATTTTAAACTATAATGTGTTTATAGTGTCCCATACATATACACGTGTGAAAACATGGTGAGTTTTTTGTTTGCTTGTTTTTTTGGTCATGGGGCCTGAACTCTGGGCCTGGGGGCTGTCCCTCAGCTCTTCAGCTCAAGGCTAGTGCTCTACCACTTCAGTCACAGCACCATTTTCGCTTTTCTAGAGGTTTATTGGAGATAAGAGTCTCACAGACTTTCCTGCCTGGGCTGGCTTTGAACCGAGATCCGTAGATCTTAACCTCCTGAGTAGCTAGAATTACAGGTGTGAGCCACCAGCACCCAGCACATGGTGGTTTTTTTTTTTTTAACATCTGCCAAATTGGGTAACAACCAATTCTGTCCTGTCTGCCACATTTCTGGAGAACAAGGTAGGTTGCAAAGTAGTATAGCCATATTTCCTGCCCTTCAACAATCAGTCATCTTGCAGCTGTCTTGTGATCTCTAGATCAGACTTTGCACTGGGAAGAGGCCACACTACAACTGTAACCAAGCTGCTGCTTTTACCAGTAGGAAATCCTACATTGATAATGTCAAAAATACATCCAAAGCTTTCTCAAGAATAGTACTTTTCAGCAGGCAATGGTGAATCACACTTGTAATCCTACCTACTCAAGAGGCTAAGATCTGAGGATCATGATTCAAAGCTAACCCAAGCAGGAAAGTCCTTGAGACTCTTATCTTCAATTAACCACCAAAATCTGGTAGTGGAGCTGTGGCTCAAGTGGGACAGAGCCCTGGTCCTAAGCTCAAGCCTAGAACTGGCACATATATAGAATAGTACTTTTCAGTTTCCTGAAACCTTTCAGTTTTGTAGTTCTTAAGCAACCAACAATAAGTTGCTTATATTAATTATAAGTTGATTAATCAGCTGTTATTACCTTGTAGTGGGTAGATATTTTTTGAGAAATTTTAATGGCTTGGGCATTCTTCCATTTTGATTTACTACATTGTGGTTGTTAAAGATTTATAGCATTGACTCAGGAGATAGGCCCCACATCCCAGGGGGGTTGGTTACAAAACAAAGGGGACTTTCAATTGTAGAGGAGGAAATCTGACTTCTACAGACACATTTTTCTTTCACACCCAGCAAATACAGGTGAGTCTTTCCTGAATTATTTTATATTCAGGTCCCAGATTTCAAATACTGTCTCACTGAATTGGAAGGGAAATTACTATTTTTGTCAAACGGTAATCTCTCTACTGGAATTTGTAGGGCCCTCCTACATTTGGGGCAATCTAAGAAAGTGGCCCTTTATTTCTCAACTACCCAACAAATACTGATGCAGTTATGTGCTTGGTGTAGATATGGGTAAAGGCAGACAACTGGTGTGTTCAGACTGTCTCATGAAACATTTCCTCCTAATCAGTTTGATTTAACTTCTGCTCACTTTTGAATAGGCTTTTGTTTTGGTTGTGCCAGGATTTGAACTCAGGGCCTTTTGTTTGCTAGGCAAGTGATCTACCACTTGAACCACATCCTTGAACGCGCTTTTGAATATTCTAGTGTTCTATCAAAATAGCAGTTTACAGGCCCATGGTACCCAGCAAAAAAAACTGAGGATCAATACACGGTGTTGAATACATTTATTTCATCTTAGGATGAATGCTCTCTTTCATAGGGACATTTCAGCTACCAATTTCTAATCAAAAACTGGTTCATCCTCCTTAATAACAAGATCGGAAGGTGTTTGCTTCCTTGATGGCAGAATAAAATCAGCATGTCCTGGTGAAAGCTTAGGGAACGTGTAATTGATGTACTTTTGAAATGCTTCTCTGGTCTCCTCCAATTCCTCCTCCAGGAAATTCTTCCAGTTGGTCATGATTCCCAGTTGTTTGGCTACAGACAGCAGCTCATCCTGGGTGTTCACCAGCTTATTCTTCACAGTGCCAAGCATGACCTGATGTGTCTTCTCGGCTTCCTGCAGTACCACCTGCACCTCTTCTTGCTTCTGCTTCTGAGCCATGCCATAGTACACATTCATTTCATGTTCCTTGGCCTTTATCAGCCGGCCCATGTTCTCCTTTTGGTCCTTCATAGCTGTCACACCACTAGTCAGGAACTCCTCCATGGCCTTGCTGTAAAACATCATACAGATTCATAAATTAGTCAGTCATTTTGCCTTTAATAAAGGAGTAAATCATCATGTCATTGAGCCTATCCTAACTAAACAGGCCAGTATGGATAAGTGTTTAGACAGCATTAGCTATTAACAGTCAATTAAAAAGCATTTCCAAAGGATGAAAAAGTATTTCCTAGCAGAGTGCTGGTGGCTCACACCTGTAATGCTAGCTACTCAGGAGGCTGAGATCTGAGGATTGAGATTTGAAGCCATCCCAGGAAGAAAAATCCTTAAGACTTCTATCTCCAATAAACTACTCAGAAAAAGTCAGAAGTAGCAATGTGGTTCAAGTGGTAGGGTGCTAGCCTTGAACACAAAGAGCCTAGGCTGAGTTTAAGTCCCAGGACTGG